ATGTGTTAAGAGTGTTGCAATAACTAAAAGCAATACATAGAAGCGAAACAAATCAATCAGCTGTACCCAGCTTCAAACTCATGCACCACAAAGCTTCAGCTGCTTCTGTAAAATGGATAGCCACCAGCTAGCAATGTGATCTTGATTTGACTTTTCCTCAGTGTCTTCATCTATAATATGAGAGAGTTAGACTAGTAGACCTGTAAGTTTCCTTCCATTTCTGAGGATCTACGATGGATAAGGAATTAGGTAGGCAGTTATGAAAGAACAAAAATCACATCAAGATCAGAATTTCATATTTAGCAACAAGAAAGCAATGCAGTGGTGTGGAAAGAGTGGAGACCTAGGTACCTGTTTCCTGATCATGAGATTAGGTTCATGGTGAATGCCTGCTGACCTCAGATACTTATGAAAATCAGTCTAGAAAATGGAGGTGAAGACAATATGATATAGTGAGCTCTTGAACATATATGAGTAGAATCCATTTACCATGAACATCGTGAAGATTTTCAGTTTTTCATGACATATCAGAATTCAATGTTAACATTACTTAAATTGGACCTCTAATTTCTCCTTGAAAAACTTTTTTATTCTTAAAAATTATAATCTACTTTGATGACAGTGCCCATTCCTCAAATCAGTCCACATTTATTTTTGATTTATTTATTTGAATCAATTCAACTCTATGCTTAGACTTTTATGTTCTCTAAAAGTTCTTCTAATATCTCATATGATACCATTTACCCGATAAATTTTTTTATTTATATAATTATTGTTGATCATTTTTGCCTATTTAATTTATATATACCTGTCCCAAAAAAGGACTTGATATAGTTTACAAGGTTTTTATAACATAGAAAAATATTGATAGATCAAGGCTAAGATAACGGAAAGGGAAAATAGAAAAATGAAACCAAAGAAAAAGTTCACACTCACAAACACACATCAAAAGGATGAAAGGATTCTAACCAAAATTTCTCAAAGTGCAATTTAAGGAGCACTAGTTCTATTGCATTTTAACAGTGGTTATGAAAAGAAAAAGAAGGATGTGGTTCTAGTTTAAAAAATAAATAAATGAAATAAAAAGAAACACCAGAGTAAACAAATTTAAGCAATTCTATTTATAATAGTATTTCTCACAGCTTTTAATAATATAAATCTCCACAAGCATCTGTCAGAATTTTTATTCCATATAGTAAATTCACAATGTTTTTTCCAGGAAAACCCAGCTTTTTGTGGCACTTAAGTTTGAGACAGATTTCTTCCTTTGGTTTTCAAAAAGGGGAAATTGAGTGCAAAAGCAGAGAAAATCCTGAACATCATTTCTTCAATAAATACAATAGTATTTCATATAGACATGGTGATATAACACATATGTAAGAATCTTTTGATTTGTTCATATTGAAAATAGTGCTTTTTGCAAGCTATGTAGGCTTTATAGCAGTTTTAAAAACTGAATTATAAAATTTTGTAGGGATAGAAATTTTTTTTTTCATTTTCAGTTATCTGTTTGCATCATTTTCTGTTATCTGTTACAGTGTTCACTTGTAACATGAAAACTCACAAGTACAGAACAGCAATAAATCCAATAATAAGTTTTAAACTTCTAGTTAAATCTTTTTGTATGGTAACACCTAAAATGCACAGAGGTGACTGTATCTGAATGCCCACTATTTGACAGAAAAGGAAACTGATTCTTGATACAATAACCATTTGTTATCATCATATCTTTTTTTTTTTGTGACCGGTAAGGGGTTCATAACCCTTGGCGTGGTGTCGCCTGCACCGCGCTCAGCCAGTGAGCGCACCGGCCATCCCTATATAGGATCCGAACCCACAGCCTCGGCGCTCCCAGCACCACTGCACTCCCAGCGCCGCACTCTCCTGAGTGAGCCACAGGGCCGGCCCTATCATCATATCTGAAATGATAAAAATTGGAAAAGATTGAAATTTTATAAATTTTATTAAATATAGCTTTACGTTTTCACCAGAGTTCTTACCTTACTCATCTGCCAAATTCAAATTGTATTGACAACTGCGTTATTTGTTCAAATTTTAAAGACAGCAAACCTATAAACTTATCAATAGGAAAGTAGATAGATAAGTAGATAATGACTGATATATAGGTAAATATGATAGGATAGAATAGGATAGGATTTTTTTTTGGATCTCATAAGAAAATGTCATCTATGATGAAATTCTCATTTCGCAAATATTTTGAAGCTTTTTTCTTCAAATAATTTATTGCTTCTCTACTATTAGAAGCAAAATGATAGAAAGATAGTAAGTACAAACCAAATCATTTACATCATGTTTTATAAAATTGATTTCTAACTGCATTACGTAAAAATTCAAAGTTAAAAGTTATTAACGGAAGTATATACAAACTTTAATACTGTGCAGCTGTTTCCTACAAAGTATTATTCTGTTAAACACTCCAGTAAAAACTTTGATGAAACTTGAGTAAAATAAAAAATGTAAATATTTATTTTATTCTTTTTCCAGTAGTTGAGGAGAGGGCTGGAAAAGATTAGAGGAAGGGCCATGTTCCTTTTTCAAGAATGTTTTGTGAGGTCTTGCAGAACAAACGTATCAGATAAGGTCTGTCGTTAGGGATTGTGCAGACATTTAATGCATGTGAAAAATCTATTAGCATATTCAAGACAGAGCAAGGTATTAAACAACTTAAATGCTTTGAAAAAATACATTTATTGAGTTAGAAAGTCTAGAAAAGTACAAAATATGTAGGCAATTTGAAATGAAAAACTTACTATCTAAATTTAGTAACAGAACTTACATTCATTCCACTTTATAGTAATTACCCTTTTACCAAAAAAGTAATTATATATTCATGTTAAATATTAAGATTTTATGTAATATTGAACAAAATTACATTGCTTTGTTTACATCTATGTAAGATGATTTGAAAGATAACCAATGAAATTTAACAAAGAATAAATTTTAAGCCTTAGAACGTTCAAAAAATATATTTAAACCAAAGTTTTATACTTTCATACTTTGTTTTACAAAAATGAAGACAAAATTTAGGAACCTTAAGATATTAACAGTACTGTCTACAGGAAATATAGCTTTTTAAAAAATAATTAAAATGTTTAGTCTTTGTTAAGTCATAATTAGTTAACAAAAAAAAGTATATACATAAATAATTTTAATATTCAGGATAAGCACCCTTGCAAATAAGAGTTTATTATGGAAATTCTAACAGAGTTTTAACTGCTGACATCATTGTATTATTTGAATTAGTCTCCTGGGACCAAAAGAAAGACCCACAGCAATTTATAAACTAATCTTTTTCTCTCAAGTAACATTATGTGTCCCATTGAAATGCAAATTTTCTATAACTTCTCTTGTTAAAATTAAGCCCTGGGGGGAACTTCCTAGTTAACTAGTAATACTAAATTTTGAAATAAAGGAGTTAGATATACTCAGTATTCATTTTTTGTTTTCTCTGTGTACATGTATTTTTATAATATGTAATCTAAAAGAAAATAATGTGGCTATTTGATATCATAAGGATGGACTTCATAGACCATTAACCCAAAATCAGACAAAAATTTAAGCTAAAGCAGTTTGCTATTTGAAATCATGCGGATGCTATGCTAGAAATTCTTAATGATTAGGTGTGCTAGGAAGTTTGAGACAATGATCCAATTAACAGATGCTTGGCGGGGGGAGGGCGGAGAAAGACTATATCCTGAACATTTACCAGGTACTCCACTATAGGGAAATTCTTAATGATTAGGTGTGCTAGGAAGTTTGAGACAATGATCCAATTAACAGATGCTTTGCGGGGGGAGGGCGGAGAAAGACTATATCCTGAACATTTACCAGGTACTCCACTATAGGGATTAGCATCATAATTGGCAAATAGGATGGTGGTACTGATAGGAGAGGTCTTAGTGGCCTCAGCAAAATGTTTTCTAGGGAATCTTAATTGTCTGGATTATTTCCATCACCCTTAGCTTTGTAGTTTAATCTAATAAAAAGGATAGGTGCTCAGAATGGGACTAACATTCCAACAGGGTTTCCATATAAAGGATTATTGTCTTTCACTCTGGGTGACAAGCTATTAAGAGAAGGTTTTCTTTATTATGATGTCATCTGGTCAACTACTTCAGTTTCTCCTCCTTGGATTTCCTATACTTCAAGCTAAATTTTCATTATGTTGAAGCAGGGAAACCTGAGCATTTTCTGATTGTTAAACCTGCCCCCTTCCGCTGGAGAAACTGTTTTAGAAATTTTATGCTTGGCTGTCTTAATCACGAACTTCGGCTTCTGTAACCCAGCTTGCTTCCTACAGCTGTGTGCTAACGAAAGGTAACAGCAGTTGTGCACCGCCCTAAGGGCCGAATGCAAATTTGGCTCCAGAACTGACCAATGAGCCATGTCTCATAGCCAACCAATCTAAATTAACAGACTTGCATCCTCATTTGCATAAAAGGACCTAAATGAGAACTTGGGCAGGAAGTTTGGGCTATATAAGGCTGCCCCTTCCCTTTATTCGGGGAGACAGTAGCCTGATGCTTGTGCTCTCCTTGCTTGCAAGCAATAAAGTGCTGTAACACCAAAAAGAGCTGTAACACCAAAAAGAGCTGTTAACTAATAAAGAGCTATAATATCAACATTGGTCTTGGATTCCTCTGTGCGAGCAACCTTGCAACAATGTGTGTTGTTAAGTAGACAGGAAAATAATGTAAAAGTATTAATTTGGTCTTAACAGTTTAAACTGGATCGCCTCTGGTAATCTGGTTTACTTAAACTTTTGGTAAAGTCTAGAATCTTGCACATATGAATCATCCTCTTGGGTGATTTTTAGCAAGCGTTAATGATTTGTAATTAATACCAAAACCAAAATGGTAAAAATATAATACAAAATTATTTATTTATATTCTATGGTTAAAATACTTTCAGGATAAAGACTGATTATCTAGAATGTTTACTATGACTATATTTAACAAAAATATTTCTTTTTTTTATAGCCAATTGGTGCTTTGAACCCAAAGAGAGCTGTGTTTTACGCCGAGCGTTATGAGACATGGGAAGATGATCAGAGCCCCCCCTACCATTATAATACTCATTATTCAACAGCTACATCTACCTTATCCTGGCTTGTTCGGATTGTGAGTATCCTCCTTAAGTTACAGTTTGCCTTTAATACCTTAAAGTTTTTAACATAAATAAATAAAAGTTAAATAAAAGTTTTATTGGTTTTAAACAAAGATTACAGACCAATGAGGTAGAAATTAAAAATTCCAAGCTCCAGCAAAAACTGAATCTTTTATTTTTTTTCTTAATGAGTTCTCATTTGCAAATTTGGGTTAGGAAGACAGGTTATTGTGCGCTTCTTAAAGGTAAACCAGTAGTAAAGGAGCTGAACTTCTGGAGTACAAGCTTAGCACCCCCTGCCTCCTTCCTCACTGATGGCACAGGCTGGCACTTACTCTCCCCTAGCCCTCTCACTCTTGCTTCTTGGGCAGCATGTTTTAAAAACAATTTCCAAGTGTTTTGAAGACCTCTCTCTGTTACTGTGTTTTTCTCCTAACATGTCTTGAAAAACACAAAGACGCCTCCTTGCAGCCCTTGCCTGTTGTGTGGTCTTCCCCTCTCTCTCCCTTCATGGTCAGGGGCACTGAAGCACAGCCTCCACTGTACCACACTGCTTGGACTGGCTCCCTCCACTTTATCCCCTGCCATGCTGTTATAGAATTGGACTTGCCAAGGAAGCGGCAGACACTCAGAAGTTTGGAGAGTCAGAAGTTTATTTTGCTAGCGGGTCCAGACAAGCTATTGCTCTGAAATTCTGGACCCCAAACACAGGTTTTGCAGGGCCTTTTATAGGCAGACCTTTTAAGTTCCAGTTTCTAAGCATATATCTTAAGCAGGCAATTGCTAGTTTCAGCTTCTCCAAATTCATGTAACTTGAGCAAGCATGTAAGCAAGATTACAGAAGTGAGGAATGCAGGCAGTTGATTATTAACTGGGCTGACTTCTGGGGGCCCTGATAGGTAAGAACATTTAGTTATAGAGGCACTGCCCAAGCTAAATGAAATTTTTAATTCTGACTTTTCCAACAATGCAGTCTTCAGCCTGGTTGGATTATGTTCGATACTCGTCACCACTGAATGGTTCTCATTCAGGTTGCTTGTTATGTGGACAGAGTTTCCCATTTCCTACCCACCATGTCTCTGAAGCATTTCACACCATTGCTCACTTTCTACTTCTTGCAATTCTTTTCTCTCATGGATCCTCTGCCAATATCTGCCCCTGGTATTCCTTCTTATCACCCTAACTCTCTTGCTCAGTCTCCTGCTCAGATTTATTTTCCTCAATATTCCTATTCCCCAGGATTTTCCTGTGCACTTTAGCTGGGCTATATCATTCAATTATAAGCTGGTCTCCAGTGACTTCCAGCTTCTATCTTTAGTGTGAACATTTCTCATGGGCTCTTGACCTATGTTTCCAAGTGTCTGCTGGGTATTTCTACCTGAACATCTCATAATACATAAATAAATAGCATTTTAAAAACTGAACTCTTCATCTCCCTCATGAACCTGCTGTGGTTCCTTCTGTTTTTCCTATCTAAATAAATGGCATGAGCATTCATCCAGTTCTCTGATCTAGAAATTGGGGAGCTTCCCTAGAAATTTTCTGTATTTTACCAACCCCTTTTATCCAATCAGATATCCATAGGTTCTACCAACTAAATATCTCTACTATCTCTGTATAACTCTGGTACTTTCTTAGTTTAGGTTCCCATTATTTCTCATCTACATTATTGCAAAAGCACTTAACAAATCTCTTTGCCTTTAGTCTTCCCTTCTCCAGTCTAGTTTAGTTGACAACAGTTACCGGAGTCAAATGGTCTTATTTTTTTTTTTTTTAACTATAAGGGACAGAGGAGTACTGTAGAATGATAAATCAAATCTCTGTATCAATATGTCAGTAATGTTTTCTGCCCTTATCAGGATATACGTCAGACCATTCTGTTGTATGAGGCTGATAAGCCTCAGAAACATATTAGTAAAGCAGCATACATGAAAATACATCTCCTCGTTTCAAAAATATTTTTTCCCTAAGCCTAAATAACAGCTTTAGTTTGGAGGTTTTCCTCAAGCATTCTCTCCGTTATGGGGACAAACTGAACTTACTACAAAAATGTAGTGTGATTATGTTTTAAGTAACTTGAAGCCTAAATAACAGCTTTAGTTTGGAGGTTTTCCTCAAGCATTCTCTCCGTTATGGGGACAGACTGAACTTACTACAAAAATGTAGTGTGATTATGTTTTAAGTAACTTGTAAACCACCAATAAGTGACATACTACAATTATTTGTTATAAAAAAAAGTTCATCACAATTATGATTCAGTTAAGTTGAACACAAATTTTACATCTTTCATAATCCTACACCAGCATAAGAAGTTAAGGAAGTTTAGATTAACTAGTATATTGAGAAAACAAACCCAAATCTTATTCTAAAAAATAAACTCAGTAATGACAAACTAAAGACATAAAATTATGATTTCTTTTTTAAGCCAAAGTTATTAAATCAGTCTAATTTGTCAAAGATTCACCTTAAGTATGTAAACTTGGATTCTTTTATAAAAATGTTTCTGAGCTACAAGTTTCTTAAGAAGTATTTTTTTTAACTCTAGCACTTTTAAAATACTTGTTTATTTTCTGTTAATTTTGAGAATATTATATTTATATCAGTGCAGATTTGTCAGTATAAACCAATCAGAAGAGAGCATCTTTAGTTTATGGGTGGCAATAATTAGTACCCTCTAGAAGTAGGAAAATCCTTCACACTCACACACAAAGGTAAAAGCTTTCTGAATTACAGACACACAGACACATAAAGAGCTTACAGCTTCTATCCTGAAGTTTCGGCCACAGATAAAACTAAACACAGAAACACAAAAATTTAGCACTAAAGATCTCAAAGAGCTGGTTTCATTTCCAATGGACATAAATTATATTATTAATTGATTTGAGCTCACAAATAGGCAAACAGAGAAGAAAAGAAAAAGGCTAATAAATTAGATTCTCTGATCACCATAAAAGCAAATTCCCAGTTATTACTGCCACTAGTGGGAAATCACTTATTAGCTGTGCATAAACCAGAAACAAACCAGTAGAGAGAGTAAAATTAAAAACCTAGAGGAAAAGAGTGTCAGTAATGTTAAAGTTCTGTTTGCTGCTTAGGGTTCACACTGAAAGCCAAGAGAGGGTGTACTTGGGTTTATTTGACCCATGAGATATACTTCTTAAGTGACACAGTCTACTTAGCTTCATCAGGGTATTCCATGTGGAACTCTCAGAGGTACCTCCAAAACTATTAGAGAAGGAAACTTTTAGAAGACATTGGAACCAGAGCTTTTCACCCTGTGAGGCCTTTTCATACCACCTAGTTTTTAACCAAAGACAACCATTGCCTTAGTGAGCCACCACCATGGGGGCATAAAACACCTCTCTCAGGTATTCTAGGATGTAAAAAAGAGGCAGGAACCATTTCTGAAAAAAACATTATTAACTGGGTTGTTCTGAGATTTAAATGAGAGTATATGTGTGATAGTACTTTGAAATAAAGTGGTATTTGATGGTTTTTATGTAATCAAATTAGTCCGGAGCCAGATTTACAAGATTATTCAAATGAGAGTCCACAAAAATACTTGATCTCAGCAGCCTGATTTAAGTTAACCCTCTTCTATCCCTAATAAGCTAAACACTTTCTCAAATCATAAATCGTGATTCCTCTTTAAATTTATTATTCCAGTGAAATTAAATACAAACTTGAGTCTATGCAAGGGTAGGTAGAATATCCTACACATATTTATCTGACACATGCCCTCCTAATATTGTCTCTAGCAGTGCTGCAGAACAGAATACAATGCAAACCATTTATGCAATTTAAAATTTCTGTTAGCCGCATTAAAAGTTAAAAAAGAGGTGAAATTAATTTTAATAAATATATTTGTTAACACAATATATCCAAAATATTATCATTTCAACATGTAACTGATATAAAAATTATTGAGACACTTTACAGTTTTTTTGTGATACTAAGTCTCTGAAATCCAGAATGTGTTTTATATTTATAATACATGTCAATTTGAACTAGCCACATTTCAAGTGCTCAGTAGTCACATGTGGCTACTGTATTGGACAGAACAGATCTATAGGGTTGCTTTTATGGGAACTCATTTAGCCAAACATCTTATGTCGTGCTGTTATAAAGAGAAGTATCCTGTTTAACCTAATGGCCCAGGGAATTGTGATTTTCTCACTCCCATCCCATGGAGTTTATGAAGTAGAAAATGCATTAAAATTCTTATCACTAAGAATTTGTTCATAAAAATAAAGTGCAGATTAAAATAAGTATCTGTCCTTAACCTTTCAAGTCTTTTCGGCATAAAGTCATTATACTCATTATTAGTTTCAATTAATGTACTTAGTATGGCAATGATAATAATTGCTTAAAAATCCTAATTAACTATATACTTCATTACTTTAAGTTAAAAATATTATTTATTTTAGACAAACTACCAATGAAATCACTTGTCTAAATTGCAAGACTCTGAAAAGACTATTTTTTTTTTTTTTTTAAAGATGACTGGTAAGGGGATCTTAACCCTTGTCTTGGTGTTGTCAACACCACGCTCAGCCAGTGAGCCAACCGGCCATCCCTATATGGGATCCGAACCCGTGGCCTTGGTGTTACTAGGCACCGCACTCTCCCGAGTGAGCCACGGGCCGACCCCTGAAAAGACTATTTACTTGGTAGCTGCCATTGGGCAAATGATGAATAAATTATTAAAGCAGAGTTTGGAGTTTCTTCAGATATTCACTAATATAAAAGGACACATTTTACTTAGAATGTTTTTACTTGAAGTCTTACTCTGGACATATAATGTCCTCAGAGAAGTGATGAACTCTTACTGACCATTTCCTCAATAACCTGTTCACCTTCCCAATTCAGTTTATTCACACCACGCTCAGCCAGTGAGCCAACCGGCCATCCCTATATGGGATCCGAACCCGTGGCCTTGGTGTTACTAGGCACCGCACTCTCCCGAGTGAGCCACGGGCCGACCCCTGAAAAGACTATTTACTTGGTAGCTGCCATTGGGCAAATGATGAATAAATTATTAAAGCAGAGTTTGGAGTTTCTTCAGATATTCACTAATATAAAAGGACACATTTTACTTAGAATGTTTTTACTTGAAGTCTTACTCTGGACATATAATGTCCTCAGAGAAGTGATGAACTCTTACTGACCATTTCCTCAATAACCTGTTCACCTTCCCAATTCAGTTTATTCAGCCCTCCTATTTAAAACTCATTTGTCAAACATTTAATCATAATTCTTAGGAAGTTAAATAGGTTGTGTAAACAGAAGTTAATTTATAAATATGCTATTTAGAATTTGGATCTTTCTTTATAAATGATGGGCTGTTTTGAAAGCTTACCTAAGAGCCTCTTTAAAACGTAATATATTTTTCAAAGTATGTATTTGTTGTAAAATATAAGTAGAAGCACTTTTGCAAGTGTTGTAATAAACACTAAAAGATAAAGCTACTGAATGAAATATTGTCATGTTTATCTTGAATACCAATGCTTGAGGACAATGCATATCTACTTAGAGGAAACCGAGGAATACTTGCTAAGAACCTGGTGCATAGTAGGTACATAGGTTAGTCTATAGAGACTTTTGGAAGATTCTGGAAGATACTTTTGCATTCTTTCAAAAGAAATGGGAAAAAATAAACTTCTGTAGGTAGACAAAGGCTGGTAGAAATAATGGTTCCCCATTTCCTAGAATGTGACCTTAAATTTTCTCAGATGTAAAAGGGGAATAATTATTCCCACTCTGAAGGATGATGCTTGAGTTTACTGAGATGATACAGTGCCTAGCACAGATGGGTGCTCAGTAACCGTCGGTTTCCTCCCTTTGGTCTTTATCATGCTTTGTATTGCTTCAAATATTCTTCTTTTCCTTGTTATAGTTATGTCCCATGCACTACTTACCTACGGTGGGGTTCGTTTTTGGCTTTTAAATGGAATTAAAAGAAGAAAACTACCATGGGAGAGGGATTTAAGAAAAGACTTCTATGAGATGACTAAGTAAAAGTCATGTAAGGCAGAAGAATAAAGGAGTCGGGTAAAGAGAAGAGGGAGCAGGGAAACAGCGTTAGGTTGTCCAGGATGGAATCAATTGATCTATAATCACTGAACAGCAGGAAGGGTCATTATTTCCTTGGAGGGAATAAAGGTTATGATGGAACACAGCAGGACAGGTACTTCCCAGTGCAGGCCAGGTGAGTTTGGTTTTCCACCACTGAAAAAGGGTTGGAAGATAGGAAGTGACCTCGAGGTGGATGTGATTAGAAGAAAGTCTTCCATCAGCCAGTTATATTGCAATACCTAAACTGAAGTTTTTAAAGCCCAACGAGTATCAGTATTTTAATTTCTGAAATTGCTGTTTAATATTTACTTATCTGTACATCTTATCTCCCAAGCCAAAAGCTTTTCTACTATAAGGATTAAATATCTAATATGCTAATGTTTACATATAAAATGGTTAAATTGACATGTATTTGGCAAATAAATATAAAAGCTCCTTAAGCTTAATGTAAAACTTAATTCTCTATGTTAGTCAGGCTTGAGTCATATGAAAAAGAAAGGCCTTGCACTGTGCATTGAAGGTAGTAGGGAAACACATGGAAAAAAGTAATCTCCACGGTAATCAGAGCTTGAAAGATCAATACTCACTTATAAACAAATAGGTTATCAATTTCTATTACTACTCTACCACTGTAGCAGCTGGAGGCCTTCAGGAATAATGAGAATATATTTCAGTAATGTAGTATGTGACTCGAAACCCTTAAAACAGTTGTTAATCAGATCTTTTTGAAAGCTACTTAAAATAGTGAAATGTGGAATTCTTCAGTACTCTCTGTTTTGAGGTGCCCCCAGATTCATAAACATTGTTACCAGAAATAAAAATAATTCCTCAATCTAAGAGTTCTTTTCACTATGCCCATTAGTGCTATTCTTGGCATGTCTTTGTTAAGAAAAGATTTTATAATTTAGGTTGTGGTAGAGATCAGCTTTTAGTGGCTCGTGATAAGAAGTAAGGCTTTGCATGTGTAAATAGATCTCCACTCACATCTGCTTAATAGGTTAAAAAACATAGACAAGTCTGATCCCTCTAAATTAATCCCTGCCTTCTACCTCCAATAAAAAATAAATGCCTTACATCAGCATCCTGGAATAATGAAGTGGGTTCTGAAGATACAACATTTTGGTCAAACTTCTACTAGTAGCTAAAAACTTTACAGAAAAACTGTCATCTTTCTCTCACCCTCCCATAGCCCTATCTCCCAACGGTACCTTGTATATTTAGGTATGGTCAATAAATATTTATTAAACACTAGCTATACACCAAGTGCTGTGCTTGGTGCTGGGGACACAGAGATGCGTAAGACCTAAGGAACTAAGAGTCTGGCCAGGGAGTCTAATGAACTAGCAGTTTGGTGGGGAGTCCAGCAGTAAGTACTTGGCACAGTGTATAAAGCTGGTAGTCATTTTTATAACTCTGTGTCAGGTAAGATCTATCAAGCTTTCTCTATATTATTTAATTTTATTTAATCCCCATAATTACACCAAGGTATTGTCATTCCCAGTTTACATAGGTGAAGGAATGGAGACACAGTTACTTGACAGTTTCTTAATGTTAAGTAACTTGCTCAAGATAGATAAATAGTTCCAACAGGATTCAAACTTAGACCTGTCTTAGTTCATTCCATTTACCATTGCTACTTCTACAATTTTTATATCCTCATTTTAATTAATTTAGTGATCTAATATACTGCTTTCATTACCTTATTTTTAATAGTGAAATAAAAGTCTGCAAAGCAAATTAATTAGTGAAAGAAATCTCATACAATTTTTATTCCTAACTTAATTCTGGTGACATCTATTTGTCTCTCATATCACTTAAAATCTTAAACAGCAATATGGGCTTCTTGGATGCGTATCTGATTTTGGGGTGAATCAATAATGCCACCCACCTATATATTGTTATAGTATTCTTGATCTTATCTCTTTCCTCACATCTTTCTCTCATTCAACACTGAACATGAAATATTGACAATACATTACAAACTTATAAAATTGATGACATCTAGCCACTCTAAATTTCAGGAAGATATTAAGAGATGAGTATTTGCAGCTGTTGTCCAACAGCCAGGCCTTAAGGCTAGTGGCAAGAAGGCGAGTTTAAAGGGACAAAGTAATCATGTAATGCATATAAAATATGAACAGAGACTACATGAACAGAAACTACAGAAATTAGAGAAAAAAAGACTAAAATACTTAGGAAAATATCATGTAGATTTCTTAGCATTATTGAACCTGGGAATGACACATCATTAAGAGAGAAGAATTAAAGCATGTAATAGAAATATGTGTCTATCTTTGCCATACTTCTAGTTAACTAAGAAATCCTTAGTAAGAATGAATGTTATTTAATCCTTTTAAATTTGGAAGCATCAAAAACAATGCCTTCCTCCCAACATAAGAACTGCATAAAAATCATTAAAATTAGGTGAGTTAGGATGTTGTGATACAAGTTGTTCCTAGGTTCCTGCTTTGAGAACATGTACTGGATGACAGACATATGTTATAAGGTAACAGTCACAGGATCTCGGAAGGACTAGAGTTTATCTAGTCTCATTTGCACTTACTTTATTCCAGTCCTTCATTCAATAGATTGTATATTGAACAACTTCTTTGTACCAGGAGTTGTTCTAAGTGTTGGAGATAAAACAGTGAATAAGATGGATATGGAACCTGCTCATAGTGGGAAATGTAGACAAGTTCACAGTCAATTACAAAATGGTGTGACAAGTACTTTGATGCTGTTTGAGGAAACATGTTGCCATTTGAGCATACTGGAGTGCCTTGGTAAATCAAGGAAAATCTTTCAGGACAAAATGACATCTTGGCTTAGACTTAAAAGATAAGAAGAACTTAGCCAAATAAAGATAGTGAGGGAAAGGGATAAGTTCATACCAGGCAGAGGGAATGTTACACACAAAGGACAAGAGATGAGAGGAGTGTGGCAAGACCTTAGAATGTAATGAAGAGCATATGTTGAGAGGTAAGAGTTAAGCAGGTTCCGGACCATTCAGCCTCTTGTAAACCAAAGTAAGTAGTTTAGACTTTCTCCTAAGAGCTTTGATGGGCTGCTTTTGAAGAATTTTAAGCAGGGATTTACATTTTAAAAAGATCCTCAGACCATGATTTGGTACTAGTACTTCAGTAGCCTTTCAGAGGTAATCTAAGGTAGACATTCCTTACCTAATTCCACACTGCAGTGACAGTGTCAGTATGTATGTGCTTAATTATTAGAAAGAAAATCTGAATTATGAATTGACAGTAATGCAAAATAATTTACCATAAAATCATAGAGCACTAGAACCCCATCACATTATAGATCAGAAGACAGAAGATCAAGAAGCAAAATGGCCTGTGAATGTTGCAGAGCAGGAGGTGCTGCAGCAGCCCAGCCAGGCCAGACTGGTCCCTACTCACCCATGGTGTGGGCATCTTTCCAGGACCCTGCACTGCTTCCATCTCTAGAAGGTTTCACAGAGAGTCATATTTTACAAAGGAACAAGGGCAGTTGTGTTTAGAATGATCAAGTTCCTGATTCTGTTTTTTTTGTTTAGGAACCTTTCACAACCTTCTTCCTCAATGCAAATGATGGAAAGTTTGACCATCCAGATCGAACCTTCTCGTCAGTTGCAAGGTCTTGGAGGACTAGTCAGAGAGATACTTCTGATGTAAAGGTAGGCTCTTTTATTTGTTGATATTAATTGAATTTCAAAGTATGTTAAAATTTTGATTTTTTAAATTTAAGAGGATGTAAGGACATTTTATATTGCAGCTTTGTTTCATCATATTAAAATTATATGATATATCTAATCTTAAAGAAAATAATTTTGAGCATTACAGAAAATGATTCAGGATTCTTTTATATTACTCAGTTAAGGTGTTTTTGTTATTACAAAAAAATTCTGTCTAATTTAGATCGAATAATCAGTAGATGGAAAGAAAAGCCCATAAATTGCCTTTCCTGCTGTTAACTCAATATTTGGCCCATTCCATAAAACACAGCAGGAATTGGATTTGACCTTAATGTGTCATATTGTTATAGCTTGCCCAGCTTTGGGTTTGCGTAGCCTGGGGCAATTAATAAAGCATTAATGACAAGACCCATTTAAAATGTAGGCTTTCTGTACAGGCTAAGCTTTTACTTGACTGTGCCTGGGGATACTATGCAACAATACACATTAGATTAAACCAACACACGCACAATATCCAGGAACAGCCGAGAGCAGAGTAATTTTACAGTTGGTACTACTTAACTATTGTTAAATACAAAGATTTGTTATTCATTTATAGGGCTCTGGTTTAAAAAAGAAAAACATTGTATTCAAAACAATAAAATGTGTTTGTTTTTTCATTTTTCATATTTTTTTCCTAATAATGTTACATGATCAGGTTACGGCATAGGTAAATGTGTTTCTTATTTGAAGCCCTTTTTCTTCAAGGCAAATTTTTTCCCATCACTGTCACTCATTATAAAAATGTTATGGTATCATTCCATATAGGGTCATTTAATCCAATGAAATGTAGTGAGTTAAAGTCAAAATTGTCATTTACATATTTATGCTTCCTTATTACTAAACATGTATGAAAGACAATTACAGTGTTACTGAACTATAAGAAAATTGGATTAATACGAGTTTTGTTTAGTTCTTTTCCAAAACAGAAGACAAAGGAAATGAAGCTAAGTATAGTATATCTGAGTACTTTATTTGTTGCTATCAAAGTTTACACAAATGAATATTAATTTATACGTACAACATATTCACATCTGGAAAAAAGTAAGATAATTTAACATGCATCTTTACTATTTTAAACTCTGAAGGCCCACATTTGTCTCCTAACTGTCTTATATATAACTTTACTGAGGAATTAAACTCTAAAATATCCATAAGCCATCATTTAAACTGATTTGCTACCAATGAAATCAGGGAAGGATTCTGTTTCTTTAACAGCATTTTGAGAATTAATACAAAAAATGGTAGTCCATAGCCTCTCATTGAACAATAGTATCTAGAATTAGCACAATGTTCATAAAAAGCACTTAAATATTTTATGTTAATAAAATATTCCTATCCGTAATGAAGACTTCTTATTATATTTAGGATTATTAATATCTTAAGTCAGAGCTATTATCCATATTATATCTAAGTATTTCAAGTGAAGTGCCTGCTGACTATTACTTGACATTATCACAAAAAAGAAAATTGGTTTTTCAACTTAATTCAAAGATCCATCCTCCCATGCCCCCACACCCACAGGGGTTAGTCATCCTAGTTTGTGTACGTAGATACAGTTTTAGACTTTACTTTCTATCCTGAGAACTTCATGGATACTTTAGAACACCAGATATCTCACCAAATTACATTCAGTCTTTGATGACCAACCAGGCTTTTTCCTCTAAATTCTCCCAGCAGTTTTCCTTTCTGAACCGTTTCAGAAACATTTACGTTTTGTCAATAATTGTGTTCCTTGGGCTCCTGAGGTCACATCTCAGGGATGAAGCCAGTGTGGCGGTCAGCAACTTGGGGATATTTTGGTTATATCCTCAAGTAGCCAGATTGAACAAAAACATGTACCTTTTCCCCCCAAGACTTAATTAATGTGAAGCTCATTTCCCAACTTGACATGACACAGATCACTCATTTTCACGACCACCTCCCATATCATATGATAATATGGCTTGAATACTTTGCCATGTAGACCTACCCCTTTCTTTTTAAAGGCTGTGCACACTTATACAGTAATCTATTTATACACTCTCCTGTTGATGGAGAGATTGTCTTTCTCTCTGGCTGTTACTTTTAAACACAAGGCTGCATTGAGCACCCATGCACAGACAGCTTGATGAACTTTGTGTAGTATGTAAAGGGTAATCCCTGTTAATGGGGACTGGTAGTTCAAAGGCTACTTACATCTTTAATTTTTTAAGATATTGCCAAATTATCATCCCCAAAGATGACAATTTGCCTCAGCAGTGAGCAAGGGCACCTCCTTCCGCATTCCCTCATCATCACTATTGTAACAAACAGTGGAACTTTTGCTAATCTGGTAAGTGAAAAATGGAGTTGTCTTTGTTTTGGTTTGCATTAATTTGAATGAATGAAGTTGAGCATTTTTATATATATTTATTGACCTGTGAACTGACTCATCTCATTTGCCCATTTTTCAGTTGGGTCATATGTGTTTTCTTATTAATTTGAAAAAGATCTTTGAAATTGCAGCAAGTTGTGTTTCAAATATGGTTTCTCAGTCTTTCAGTTTTGTTATGTTTCAGTTGTGTTTGGAGGAATAGCCAAATATATCCATCTTTCCCTTTGTAGAATCAGAATTTGGGATCCTCATGACCGGAATATTAGAGAAAAGTTAAATGTTTTTGGTAATAACTAGTGGTAATTTGAGAATTTTCTAAATTCAAGATTAAATACAGTTGGTTCTCTGTATTCATGATTCAACCAACTGTGGATAGAAAATACATTATTTGAAAAATAACTTGTAATAATACAACAATAAAGAAATACAAATTAAAAAATACAAATTAGGGGCCGGCCCGGTGGCGCACTGGATAGTGCGCCGCTTGGGAAGCGCGGCGGCACTCCCGCCCAAGGGTTCGGTTCCCACATGCAGACCGGTTCCCGCTCACTGGCTGAGCGAGGCGCGGGAGCAGCACCGAGGTTTGCGATCCCCTTGCCGGTCCCCGGTCCGGTACGGGGGCAACACTGAGGGTTGCGATCCGTTGCCGGACACGGAAAAAGACAAAAAGACAAAAAAAAAAAATACAAATTAAAAAATACAATATAACAACTATTTGCATAGTATTTGCATTGTTTTGCATATTATAAGTAATTTAGAGATGATTTAAAGTAGATGAGAGGATGTGGGTAGGTAATATGCAAATACTACGCCATTCTATATCAGGGACTTGAGCATCCGAGAATTGTGGTATCAGCAGAGATCCTGGAACCAATCCCCTGCAGATACCAAGAGATGACTGTATTTTTCCCCTTCTGAAAGAATACCCAATTTAGCAGGGAGGAATATATTTCTAAGAGTAGAAATCATTTTACTAACTGTTAAAACTTAAGCTTTTGATTTCTTATTGCTAAGCTGTTAAAATACAGCATTTGATATATTTTTCAGGAAATGTGTTTCCATTTTTGGAGAAGAAAAGTATCTCTGAAATATCTACTAACTTAGAGAATCACATAAGAGAGAACTAGAATGCAGTGGATGGTTTTATTCTGTCTCTCTCTATTAATGTCAGCCTCTTCCTGTACTAATGAATGCAAGCTGGGAAGGAAGAGTGCTGCTGAAGTGACCTCTTAGGAGAGAGAGGTCTCTGGAGTTGAGTCAGACCAGTTAGTTTTTGCTTTATTTATTTTTTTTAATTTCTCTCCCCTAGCGTAGTCTTGGTAACAATGACATTCAACTTACTGAAATTCTTACACTAATTTTCCTTAATGCCTTCAGAAGTTGTTATATTACTTTTTGAATAGCTATGTAGATGTCAGAGAAGGTAGCTATGACAAAATGTCATTAAGGTGACATAGTTTAAATTAATACAGTTAATGGAGGCGCTCACCACTGACTCATTGACCCATTATGAGCTCTTGTGGAATTAATGAATGCCAGGGCATCAATCTTTTGAAGAAAAGGAAGAAAAGAGTTGGCAGCTTTAAAACCTTGCAGTGAATTATATTAGAAAAGTGAAAACGTCTGGGTTGGATTTGATTTCACTAGGAAGCCATAAAATGGTATGCTCTCTCAGCAAAATATATTAAACCAAAATGTCAGATTTGATGCAATAGGTATACAATTATGATAGTGTTAATAGTGGTCTTCTATCATTCTAAGACATACTTTCAAGTCCAATTTCTCAGCAGCTTGAACTTGTCATAAGCTTATAAATTAGAAATTGTGTTTGAGGATATTTTCTTATTTTTGACAGAATACATATAATACCATTAACTGTACTGTGGGGGTTTAGTATAGCTGTTAAAATAAACTAGAAATCACATTTACAGTCACAAAATGCCTGTTGTAATATTCATTTTGCCATTTCCTTTAATAATACTTGTTGTCTTTCTGCACTGTTTTTCATTTAGAAGATATTAAACTACTTGGACTTTTTCCTTAAAGAGAAGCTGATTAACAGAAATCTGTCAATGGGAAGACAGTAAGCAGAACAGCAGTTGTCTTAAGTAGGCTAGCGAGGGTCTAACACAGGAGCACACTTACTAGTTTTAATAGTAGAACCCATTCTTTTTAATAATACTTAGTTCTCAAACATGCTCTTTTGCTGGTTATTTGGTACAGTCCTCAAAACAGTCCTATAAGGTATCATTACCTTGTAGTTTAAAGGAGGTTCACAGATATTAAGTGACTTGCCTAAGTTCACACTTAGGCAAGTAAAGAGGAAGCCAGAACTAGCACTGAGCTGCTTCAGTTCTACATGATCATATAATCATATCCAGCCACTTCAACTATTTTGGAGTAATTGACCAGTCAAGTTATACTTTAGTCATTAAAAACACCCCAGAACTTAATAGCTTAAACAAATAATAATAACCATTTATTTCCTCCCAGTTCTACAGTTGGAGCAGGGCTCGGCAGGTATAGCTTGTCTCTGATCTGTGTGGGATCAGCTGGAGTGGCCCATGTGGGTCTGGGGGATTCAGAA